ATTTGCAAATTTAATTTCTCCATAGAAATTACCTATAATTGCATAAGTGACAAATTTAAATTTTAGTTAATTTATTTCGTGCACACATATTCATAGTGTAACGTTACACTCTACTGCTGAATTTTATACACTGACCAGCATTATAAAAAGTAATCTTTAAATATTTTTCACCCTTATTCAATTTCTTAATTCCATCAAAAATCATGCTAAGTGTACCATTAGGGCCCTTTCCTATAATTTCATCTTCATTAAGAATATAATTAATTTGCTCCCTCACTGCTTCATCTTGAATACCAAATAAATGAACTTTACATGGACAAGGTAATAAATTTTACTTACCTGTTTATCAGAATGGGGTACATGGACATTTTGGCTCAATCATAACTATCCCTTAAATGATTTTTAGACCAAATATGGTCTAAATTTCAAATTCCATTTTTTCTTTACAAAAAAAGTTTTTATGTAAAACCCTGGGCGTGGTGTGTACTATTCAAAAGATCTTCTCAAATAGTATCTCAATATGTAAATAAAATAATAATGGTTTATTATTGTGTAAATTTCTAAATTTTATTATGTATTGTTCATGTAGTACAAAAATCTGAAATAATAAAAGGACTTTCAACTCCGTTATTTGTAATATTTTGGTATCATACAATTTTTAAACAGCTGTTATCATGGCCTGACCCAAAATTTAAATAGCCTTATTTTAGAAATGTTTTTATGATGAACATACCAACAAAAATTTTGTATCAGACCATGATAACATGCTTAAAAATGTATGATGTCAATATATATATATGTTTTAAAATGGCTTTTACTTGATCTAAATCTTCTATAAATAAGCCCAAGTAGATGATACATCAAGAAAATTCAATTTATTGATAATTATCTATAAAATAAAAAAAAATAAAAAAAATAAAAACAAGTTCAATTAAAATACAAGAAAATATTTTTGAAGAAAATCAACAAGATTCTGATAATGAATTAGATTATTATATTGCTAATATTACAAGAATACCACAAAATATTTACCATGATGAATCTCTTGAGTATAATGAATTTATTGAATGTCTTGACTATACATGCAGCCCAAAGTATTTTGACACTGTCATAAAGGGGGTTACACATGTAGTAAAGGGGTGTTACACTTATGTTTTTAATAGTGAATGCCGTAATTAATTTCTACTTTCTACCATCAAAATTGGAATAGTTTTGACCATCAAAATCACCAAACCAATTTAGGCTGCATGTATATTCATGGCTGAGTGGAATGTAAAAAGTGAAATTAATGTATGTTTTTTTTTGGTCAACAAGTAGGGTAGCAGGTTTATTTATGCATTTTTGAAGCAATTTATTAAACTACTTAATCAATGCACCATTTGAATATGAGGACATAGTGTCAAATTGCAATATATTTTTTGCTTTGAGTTTACATGGAAAAATTCAGAGTAAAAAAAATAATTATGTATATATCAAATAGTTTGCTATCTTGTCCATATAATTAATTTTGCAGCCAAAAAACTTTAAGAAAGCTTCATGCAATTGGACCTGATGATAATTACATATTAGTATTTAAATAATGTGGTCTACATAGTAGATTATGTTAATTATTGTATTATATATAAGATTTTTTATTATTCATAAATTAATAATTAAAATTCATGCATTACCACAAAGACATGAGCTTCTTAAGCAGTAGTGCATTGCTGTTAATATCAAACAATTAGAATTTATACCAGATGTCAAAAATTCAACTGAATTAATGTTGAGCAGAGTCCAAGATTGCAAAAGGCTGTATTCTTATTTTTTTATTAAAAAAATTAAATTATAAATCCCTTTAATAATATAAACGGTTCATAATGTTGCATGAGTGAATTAACATAAATACAGGTTGGTAAACAACTAAATAAAATATTTCTTTGAAGTAATAAATATATTGTAAAATTGATTTATCTTATTTGTAGCATTTCAAGAAAGTTATGGATTACATATCAGTCCATTTGTATCCTACACCTACATTCAATGTATTTAATTTTTTGTTGGATAAAATAGATATGATTGACAATTCAAACATAAAACCGATAAAAAATGCAGAAGAAAACTCTAAAAATATTATTCAACAACTGATGATTGAATTTACATATTGCCACCAATAAATCATTTGTTTAAAATTCATAATTAAATGGTTATGGATCCTAGATTGAAAATGAGTTATTATAAAGAGATTTGCATATTTGGAAGCAGAAAAGATAGATAGTAAATAATAATTGGGAGCAAATTTTGCAGATGATGATCTTTTTTAAAAGCAAGATATTAATACCAAATTTTGTAGAACAAGGTGAGTTTTCACTGAATTATTTGTTGAGTTGTTGTGTATCTGAAGTCATGCTGCAACTAGAAATTTGTTAAATGAAGAATTGAAGGCTCTTCATGGCCACAGCTCGCAAAAGTTACAGTCGGGTATTAGATCTGGCATATGGTGGACGGACACTAACAGTGCATTTTATTGTGGTGAATAAGATACATGAATTATTATAACTGTTGAAATAATGCCAGGATAGATAATGATGATCTATTTTATTTTTTTTGTTTTCTTTTCATAATTTAAAACACAGGCCAAGTAATGAGAATTGATTTGATGGGGAGTTTAGAGTTCGTTCAATGCAAGTAATTATTATATTTATATCAATTAAATTTAAACAATTATATTTATTGATTTTATAGAGTAGTGGGTGAATGAGGCATATGTTTCGGAAGGAGTGTTATCCAGGTACCATAGTGATTGGTATCTTTGTAACCCAATCCAAAGACAAATTTATTAGTTTTGCACTAAATAGAGTCCTAATCATTTGAACATAATATCATCCTAATAGATGAAAAGATATATATTCTAATTTGATTCGATTTTTCAGAAATTGATGAAATGAACCAATCCAACAAATTGAAAATAGACATAATGAATTAAAAATTGACAATTGTATTATCATTTTTTTTTTGTAAATTATATAATTATTTTATCATTATTATTATATATAGACTGAATTGGACTGTGAACCAAATTTATCTGGTTTTGGTATCAATGACTATCTGGACTGTTTTGACAGTTAAATTTGTTCAATTTAATTTTTAAAAATATTATAATTCAATTCAAATTATTAATATATTTCAAAAGAATATATGCTTTATATATATATATTAATTCAAAATTCATTCATTGTCTCTGAATGCTTATTTCTTTTAAAATCCAACTTTTTAACAAATAATTGCAAGAACAGTTATTGAGACGAATTCATTCTTTCAATAGTTAGAGTTCTATAATACTTAATTCGAATTATTCGTTTTATTAGAATAAACTTTTGATGTAATTTGAATGCTCAAATTCATAATTCAATTCGAATAAATTTTCAATGTAGTTTGAATACTCAAATTTATAATGAAATAATTCGAATAAACCTTATTTGAATAGAAACCCTATCTACAGTCCAGGTCACGGTCCCAGCAGACTGGTCCTTTGGTTAAGCTGGCGATCTTTGAATTGGACCATTAATAACCCTAATTATAAATAAATATTGTTATTTTTTTATCTTTATTAGTTATATATTATTATGTTAAATATTACTAATTAGTTCTAATGTTATTTGTCATTTGGCGATATATAAGGGTTTGGATAATAATACATGATATGATGTCCACGTTATGATTTTTTTCTTAAATTAAAATTCATAGAAACACCAAGATTATGACCTTTTTTCAAAGAGGGAACGTTGATTGATATGCATTTTATAGTGAACGAACCATCAGTTAACTTTATCTAGTCATTAATAGGAGCCTTATAAATGTCTAACAAATTTTGGTCAAGTATAAGAAGAGGATTTGAGTAAATGCTAATACCTAAAATAATATACTGCATACATTCATTTAAAATAATGTGCCCACATCTAATGAAATAATGAATCAAAATATCAATACTTTCTGGAATAAATCCATGTTCACACCTATCCATTGATACATAGAATTCCATCATTCCACACAAGCAAGTAACCATCCTTTTCTAATGAATGGGGTTTAGAAATGTTAGCACAGCCTATATCAGTGACTAGAAAGAATATATTTATAAGTAAATAAATTTCAAGTAAAATTTAGATTAAACTATACATTTGCCATGTGTTTGACCAGAATTAACTAATGATACTAATTATTGCATCTAGTGTATCCTTTCCAACATTGTGTTCTCCTTCTAATAATTTAATCACTTTGATTATTAATTGATTTACCAAATAATTAGTTAAATTTTGATCATTCTATCTTGAGGTCCTGATTAAATTAATAGTAATTTAAATTTGTATTACACAAGAACAGTCAGAATGAAAAAATGCTTCTAATAAATGTTGCAATTTCTAAATATTTTCATTATCTTCTGATTCTTGTGAAATATTTGATTTTATAGTTAATTTTATAAAACTTTCAACTTCAGTAATATTAATTTCTAATAAATCTGGCTCATATTCATGATCTAATTCATTATTCAAATCTTCTGAAGTAGAATTAAATTCTGTTGGCCCATTTTTTTTCTTTGATTTTGTAATTCATCAAACAATTCAACCAAATCTAATTCATTATAGATACATCTTTTTTTTTAAATAAAAAAATTGTTTATATTACGGATTTAAAATATTTTTGAAGATACTGTATTTTATATCATTTTCAAATAAAATATGCCATCCTCAGATTTTTATTCAAATCATTTAACAGAATTGCTTCAAAGTATGAAGACCTAGCTTTTTAAAATTCCAGAATGAGTCATAAAAGTTTTAACATTCTGGTCTTCAAATTTAATTTCCATATAAAAGTCTGATTCATTTAACAGATTAGTTAAATCATTTACAAGTTTACTTATATGTTTTAATGAAAAGGTTGTTAATTGTGTATTCATATTCATAAGAAGATATACATTGTCCAATATTTTGTTAAATTGGTTTTGTTATTAAAAGTTTATAAAAGTTACTAATATTACATATAAATTGGTTTTAAAACAACAACAAAATA